AGTTAATTATTTTATTTCAAAAAAAAATATAAATTATTTATACTTAAATGATGTATAAGACTCAAATATATAGTATTTTAGTATAAAATGACATAAAACGTAAATAATTAATTAATTTTTATCATATTTTATATATTTTGTAAAAATAAAAAATTTTATTTCGGGGTATTTCGAGCCAAGCTCAAAGCCGATGGCTTGGCCTAAATTTCCTCGAGCCATTCCAGCTAGCCTGTGAATAGCTCCGAATATAAAAATATCATATTTTTTCTAAGCCCGACCCTAATTTTTTTGGGTGAGTTCGGGTTAGGCCGTCGGGCTCGGCCCAAATTACCGACTCTAGACGGGATCGGGACACCCCTATCCCATGTCTTATCCCAAATTAAAAAATCATGACTAAATTTTTGTCTGGTGTTCTATCCCTTCCTAAAAAATTGTCCTATCCCATTAGGAATCGAGACAAGATCAAGACGTGATCGGGACGTCCCGCTATCCCGATAAATTAGACAATGTCAAAGAAAAATTTAGATAATAACAAAAACAACAACAAGCCTTTATCTCACTCGGTGGGGTCGGCTACATGGATTGCAAGACGCCATTATGCTCTATCATTTATTAAGCTTTTAGAATATTATTAATTAAGAGATCACGTTCAACAACTTCCAGAGTGTTCTTAGCCTTCCTCTCCTCTCTTAATCGGACTCAAGTTATATGTTCCACTCTTCTCACTGGTGCCTCCCTTGGTCTTCTTTGTACATGCCCAAACCATCTCAACCGATTTTCTACCATTTTTTCCTCAATAGGTGCCCACCCTCACTTTCACGTATGTGCTCTTCGAATTTTATCTTTACGTGTAAAAATTTAGATAATAACATTCATTAAAATTTAATGAATGTTATTATCTAAATTTTTACACGTAAAGATAAAAATTCGTAAAATCATATAATTTATTAAGTTTAAAATTAAAATAAATACAAGTACAAAACACATCAATTTTAAGTCAATTATCAAATTACATTATCACAATTACACATCATAATAGCAATATAAGTGATCTTTAGGGCTGTAATAGCAGCAATAATAGGTAAGTTAAGTATAACATCAAATCATTATCTTCTACTTTAGTTGAAATATGCTAAGCTAATTACTCTTTCAAAAATAAATAAGAAATATGATATAAATAAAAGTTATTAAATAGATAGATATAAGAGTAAATTGTATTAACATAATTAATATATTAAAAAGAAAGGTATTACCCTGTTTCCTCTATGTTATTAAAATTATTAATATAAAAATTTTTAATTTATATAAAAATTGCAAGTATTTGAAATTATAATTGATATAATTAATATAAGTATAAATTATATTAATATAATTAATATATTTAATGCATATTTTTAAAATAAAAATAATATATATAATATTCGGGACAAGGTGGGATGTCTCAAAGGTAATTCCGTGTCTTGTCCCATCCCGAACTCCTTTTCCATCCCGTCCCGCAAAGTTCCATCTCGATTGTTTTCGGGTCGAGACGAGACCCATTCCAATATGATCGAGATGATATTAGGTCAATTGAGATATGTATAAGCTGAATACCTCTAATTGCATGACTCTTATTTTCTATCCAAGTCATCTAATCAATATCGCATTTCAAAACTCTTAGAAGTTTAGATAGTCCAAAAAAATTGTAGTAAAAAACATTTGAAACCTACAATCATTGATTTTCATAAATTGAGGAATAAATCTTTTTTAGTACACTCACTACTAGCAAGGGGTATGACACTCCAACAATCAAGCCAACACACACAACGCACTTTTTTATAAGATTTTTAAAACTATTGTCGAATAGTATTAAAATTAATAAAAATTTAATTTTACAGTAAAACACAACCGAAGTCGCCTTCCTAAAAGTCAATGGATTACCTATTTGAATTAGAATTATGAAAAGGTAAATAGTGAGAGGATTTTTTTTTGATGATGAAATTAATTTAGAAAAAAACTAAACTGAAATAAATAAATTAAACAAGTTCAATTGAAAAAATTACTAATAGCGCAATCAATCACAACCCAATCACTTAAACTTAATTTTCCTTATCTACAAAATAAATTGAATTTATTTAACTTTATTATTCTAATTTTATTATTTATTTTTCAAATTATCATTCAAGAATTAAATAAAAAATTAAGTTGTAGATTAATTAAAATTTTTCTTAACCCACAATTTGACAACTGTTCTATGTTACCCACACTAAAAACAAAACATGAATAATTATTCAAGTCAACCCAAATTGCTCTTATGTTGTTACATCAATCGATTTAAGTAAACAAAATCTCATATAAAATATATAACTCAAAAATTATGTAATAAAGCCATACTAATTAACAATAGTAATGAAAGCATAAAATTTAGAGGTAGGAAGAAGAAAAGAAAATTAGAATAAAATTAACATAAAATCTTTTTTAAATATTAAAAATTTTGATTAAAATTTAAAATCATGATTTATGATTGACCATACAAAAAAAAAATTAGCTCTTTGTATAATTAAAAATCAAACTGTACTGTATGAAAATATGAGAAGCCCATCAATCAATAAAATTGGAGGAAAGAAGAAGATGAAGGACGATGGCCTTTGTTGTTTATTTTTCCTCCTACACTCACGGCCTTGTTTCTATTCCTCTTTTCAATTAAAAAGTCGTGCCTTCGGCGGCCATGTGCTCCCCTTGTTTATAAATAAAAACCTAATAATTTAATAAAATAATAAAACTATTTTTAATAACTCTCAATGAAAACTATACTAAAATAATTTAAAATAAATATAAATAAAGTTTCTACAATTTAACTCTTTACTTGATCTTTAAGTATGTTTATATTTTTTTATTTAAAATAATCTTCATCAATATCTTTTAAATTAAATACAGAAAATCTATATAAATAAAATAAAATAAAATAATAACTATATAAAAATATTAAAAATATCATTTATATTTTTAAATTTAAAATTTAGTTAGTTAAAATCTCAAAATTGAAGATTGGATAATAAAATTAAATAATATGTAATTAAACTCAATTAACCTCAAATAAATATTTAAAAGTTTAAATTAAAAGAATAAAAGTATATAAAATTATTACTTATTATTTTTGTTAAAAACTAACTGTTACTAAATCATTCTTTTAGAGAGTAATTCTCCCAACATGTTAAAGTTTTAGAATCTATTATTTAAATAATTTACTTTTTTTCCCGTAAATAATCACATTTATTTTGGTAGTACTATTATGATTTATAGAATTATAGAATAGCTATACACGCACACACAAAACTGTCACAACAAAGATTCATAAAAACACATACTTCCTCCATTAAAAAAATATAAGGTACCTTTTAAAGAGTTAAATATAAAAAAATATAAGACATTTTTAGTCTTTCAAGATATAATCATTGTCTTATTTTAAAAGTGCCCTTATTGAATAAATCAATTTATATTTATTTTAGGGTGAAATACTCTATTAAATAAGGGTAAATATGAAAAGATGGAGTTAGTTTGAAGACAAGTATTTACTTTATTGAAGGTAATATTCAGTTAAAAATACTTTATATTTTTTAACAGAACGAGCATATGCTAAGAAAATGTTAGGGTTTTCCCCTTAGAGTGAACAAAGTAAATGTGTTTCCCTTCGTCATATTGAAAAAGATTAAATTGGAAGTAAGTTTAAAGAAAAAAAAATTAATTTGCAGGTTCTAAATCCTCATAATTTTTCTCAATTTTAAATTAAATTACTATAATTTATTTTATTTTAACTAAACCTTTATAGTTTAATCAATTAAGTATTTTGATTCCTAAAGACTAAAATTAGTAATAAATAATTAAATTTTCCAAAACAAAACACTTTTAAAATTTATAAAAGACATAACATCATAATCTAATTATATAAATTTTGAGTTCTAAAAATTCTAAATTTATATACTTTCTTAATAAAAATATAAAGTTATTAATTTCATTTTTAGAAGTAAAAAATTAAAAATTTTAATTTTAGAGATTAACATATTTAATTGATTAAATTATAAGAGCTTATTAAAAATAAAATAATTTATAGAAGCGTAATTCAAAATTTTGAAAAATTATAAGGGCCTACAAATTAAGTATTTTTTAAAAAAACTTATATTAACAGGTCAAAAATAATTGTCTCTACAATTTGACCAGCCATCAATAATAGTCTTATCTTGAAAAAACATGTGCCTCACCTTTTTAGATATAGATATAGATATAGATAATAAGTGGGAATAATAAGTCTCATCAAATATTTACCCAAAAAACAAAATCTCATCAAATTAGAAAAATAATAAAAGGATATCATGAAATAAGATAATTATTCATAAGTCTTTAAAGACTTGTTTAACATTTTTCTTAAAATTATAATTTTGACCCTCTACAAAATAATAGAAAATACAGTTGCTGAAGTTTAATTTTGAAATTGAAATTAGTAATACTTACATTAAATTTGTTAATCATCACGTTGAAGTTGTTGAATATAGGAAACATGCATGTAATTGCATACCTAAATTAACAACTTTACTCTTGTAAATTTAGTTATTAACAATAAAATAACAACCATGATTCTTATAACTAATATGGATTGATTCTAGCAGGAATGTTAGGCCAAATAGAGATTTAAATTGAACAGTATCGTAAATAACATTATCTCTGATAATTTTTTTTTTAGCAATTTTACTATCTGCAGGCTGTGGAAAACGGATAGAAGTGAAGTGACAAAACTAACTACGCTATTCCCTCATTAATGGCAGCTCAATTTAAAATCATCTACTCTCAAAAATTATTAAAAATATTAAAAATTTTATTATGAAAAGTTAGAAGGTCACTGTAAAACCCATTTATGAAGAAGCAAATTGCTGTATTGGTCTCCTAATTCATATGGCCTATAACAAACATTACTCTGTTTGATGAATCTCTGATAGAGTGTGAAAATATTTTAACTTTTGATATCACCTGACGTTGATTCTTTTGCATGGTAAAATACCGTGAAAAAAACTGACAACGCTATCTGATAAGGTGTTCCTCTTCTAAGGTCTGCACAGTCAACACCCCGCGACTACATGTATGTCGGCGAAGAACGAAGAAGTTATATAATCTGCAGAAGAAAAAGAACCCTTCAACTTCAATTCTCCAGTTCTGGTGATAAAGAAATTGAAATTGACACAAAGAAGCAGCCAGGACTAATAACGCCACTGTTAGGGTTCGACTGAGTCACCGCATGGTCCTGGGAGTGTCGGCCACTTGATTGGTGCGAACCTTGTCCATTTCTGACTTCTTGCTTGCTTTACCATCGTTACTCATTACTATATACTAATTAATTGCTTTGCTTGGTGGAATTGCTGATTGCTAATAAAGCATTTGTCGAGTCTGTTGTGGTTCATTTAGTTCTTACTTCGTTGTTGGAGTTTGAAGTTTGCCTTAATGCTTTTGATCCTTGAGACTCATATCTATTGCTTGAACAAGACGGATAAAGATTGCGATTCCCAAATGTCGAACTCATTGCCCTCTTCCTGAGTTTTCTAAGGACTATGCATCGTATTAACTGAAATGAAATGGAATATATGAATCTGTATGACTCTATCAAAATTGAGTTGGCATTGGAGCTCATGGGCGTTTCTTTTCCTTGTTTGCTTTTTTCTTTCACCCTTTTGAATGAAATGGACTTGCTAAATGATGAATGTAAGAGGATGTTCTTGGGTGAAGATAACTGCTTGAAGCTTATCCGCTTTCTATCCTGACTAAATGAAAACGATTTTGTCGGTGCATAGGAATGTTCGTGTTTGTTGGTTGTTTTTTTCTTATGTACATATACAGCTAGATTCTTTGTGAAATTATTTGTTCTGCCTAACCATTTCTTGATGTGTTTTGTGTTGGTCGATGATAGTATCCATTTTGTGCTCTGGTCTAAAAATTGTTTGGCTTGATGACAGATTGATTAGGAAATGTCTTCTGATAGTGCAAAGGAAAATGCATCAGTTGTTGATTCATCGGTGTCTGAGTGGAAGTTGGGCATTGGAAATTCAGACGATCCAGGTGGTGATTATGTTTGTTATCTTGTCTCAAAAATATCATGCCACAATTTTATTTATTTATTTGTTTCAAGTTTTCGTTTCCTTTCCCTTCTGGGTTGTAACTAGTTTGTAATTCTTCTGTTAGAGAGCTCGAGTTACAAGCCTAATGAGGTTGGTGATCCAACTAGAGCAGATAAAGTGGAATATTCTTGTCATCATATAGGAGATCAAAATGGAATTGAAATGCAAAAATTATATAATGCAAGATATTTTATCATTAAAAGTTTAAACCACCATAATATCCGTTTGTCAGTAGAGAAAGGAGTTTGGGCTACTCAAATCATGAATGAACCAATTCTGGAAGAAGCCTTTCATGTAAGATCCCTCCTTTTCTGTTATTAACTTATACTAATAATGTTAGAAATTCACATTTTCTTCAGATTTAGAATCTAGAATATAAATGGAATTGCAGTAAAATAATTAACCTTCTGGAGAGGAATTTGGTTGTCATGCAGAATTCAGCTAAAGTGATCCTTATATTTAGTGTCAACATGAGTGGATACTTCCAAGGGTATGCACAAATGATGTCTTCTATTGGGTGGAAGAGAGACAATGTTTGGAGTGAAGGAAGTGGTAAAGGTAATCCCTGGGGTTGCAGTTTTAGGGTCAAATGGCTGCGGTTAAATGACTTACCTTTTCATAAGACTCTTCATCTCAAGAATCCATTGAATGACTATAAACCTGTCAAAATTAGCAGAGATTGCCAGGTTTCTTTTATATCATGAGCTTTTTGTTTTTCACTTGTGCATCTAGGATTTTGAAAAACTGTGCACATGTTGTACGACTGAGTTACCATATCCTTTCCAGGAGTTAACTACAGATATTGGTCAAGCTCTTTGTGAGCTTCTTGATGGGAAGAATAATGTAGATGCCATGCGGAGCAGGTAAACTTCTAATGTGTTTCTCAGCTACATTTTCAGGAGGCTTCCTGCTTACTGGTTTCTGCATCTGCAGTTCATCGTTGGATGGTTTTGCTTTGAAGGGACATTCTGGGAATGTTGAAAGTTTCATGGGAAATAAAGATTGTAACTTTTACCCACTGCATATGCCATGGTCAATGCCCATGGCTTATCCTTCATTGCTTTGCCCTAATCAAGCTGAAGAAAATAGATCTCTGCCAGCAAACGAGAGATTCAATGTGACAACTTCCAGTGAAACATTTCCTTTCTCTTCTGGATCGTCAAAAGTTGCAGGAACCAAACGCCCTTATTTTAGTGCAAATATTCCTAAGCTACAAGTGGACAAGGTTGTGGCTTCTCAATATGATGGTTGGGGTTTCTCTGCAGAAAGCCCTCTAGCTAGTACCCTAACCGAGGATGATTTTCTTGAGATGGTGAAAGTTATTTTTGCTTCTCTTTATGAATTTCGTCCCTTTCCAGGAAAGAAAATCCCACCCCTGTTTATTTGATTACCCCTAAGATAAGGACTTTAAGGGATGATTTGCAATCATATAAACTTTGCAACAATATGACAAATATCAGTTTTTTATGGAGGATTGCTGATGAAATATGACAAATATGACAAACATTTTAAGTAGCATCAGCTGTGTAACAAATAACAGGATTTTCATAAAGCGGCTGTTTTCTTATTTTCCTCAAATTAACGAACCCGTTGGCTGTCTGTCTTGTAGTTTCTGGACACATGAGAAAGTTGAATTCTTATTGGTTACATAATCTTATTTTCTACAACCTTTCATCCCTTTTGCAAAATTTGAATTTTGAATCCCATCAGCTCATATATCAACACTGTATATTTTATAAGTGAAGGGTTCCCAATTTTAATTGCCTTGAGTATAATGGGTCATTCAATACCTTGGCCTGCTCTCCCCTTCTTCCTGGGAACTTGCTGCTTTTCATTAAAATTAACTGCTGCATGATGTTATCAGGAGAAAGGTTTATCTAGTGTTGATTGCAGATGTCTATATATAACTGGTGTAACTGAAATTGTTTCATGGTGTCTTTTTTCTGGTTATTGATTGTTATTTCCTGTGCAGTCCTATGAAGAATACCTGGAGGTCCATTGCAGATGTAGGAAGCATTTTTGCTTCAATGTGAGTATGCAGTGATGCAGATCAACGGCATTTAACTACTTTTCATGTGTTTTATCAATCGCATGAAGCCATAATTAAATCATTAAAGTTCTTATAGGCAACGACTTCATCTCAGACCCAGCCGGAGATGCTGAGAAGTAGATCAGACGTCAATGATAGGTGAGAGTCGTTCATTAGTTGTCTTTTTTTTTTTTTTTTTTTGCCCCTGGTGAGCACCTGGTATCCCGGGCCTGCCTCACTCAAGCTGTAAGAACTTAACAAGGCTTAGACTAATCTGAATTGAGGCATGACATTGGTCACTTGCATTGCTGCATTCTCAAGACTCAAACTCAAAACCTCTAATTAAAAGAAAATAACTCTTTCTAGTTGATTTAAGTGCTCGTGGTTCATTAATTGTCTTTTTTAATAGCCAGGCTTCAACTTTTTAGCCTGAATATTGTTTTTGACAGGGATTATGTGTTTTGCAGGAAGTCAGAGTTCTTAATGGAACGTAGTAGCAGCTGTCATAAGAGGATTCATCAGTAAGGTGGGCAATTTCCACAAGCTATTAACCTCAAGAAGGAAGTTAATTGTAATTAATCTGAAAATTAGGACTTTGATGTTGTACCTCACGTATGATACAGTATGTGAGCCATTGTAATGCGTAATCGAGGCATGCTTATCGTTTTGTACGGATTTTGGATTGGCCAAGTTGCTTCTCATGTGTATATGTACGTGTAATATTGCTCACTCCACTTGTCCCTGTAATGTGATGGGCGGAGATGCTCCATTCAGATTTATTGAGAGCATGAAATTTCGAAGTTGTTGATTCTCTGCGGTCATTGGACAAATGTTTAAATGAATGAGGTGGTGTGCGTCTGTTTGAGTTTAATTTTTTGTTATATTTCATTAAATTTTGTAAAAAAAAAAGGGAAAAAAATCAATCATTTAATTCTTAAAGTTTTGATTTAATTATAATTTAGTCCTTAAATTTTAATTTATTATAGTTCAATTTTTTAAAATTTTTTGACTTTATTGTAAATCAATTTCTGAATTTTAGTTCTTGCCATTTAGTCCCAAAAGTTTGAATTTCTTAAATATTGATCTTTATATTTTAAAAAAATAAAATTATAAAGATTAAAATTTTTTTAAAATTTATTACTAATATTTTAAATTATTAAACATTTTTAATCTTTATAAATATTATAAGTGTCAAATGTTTAAAATATTTTTAATCTTTTAATTTTACTTAAAATATAAGGATTACTAATTAAGAAGTTGAAACTTCATGGGTTAAATTACAAAAAATAAAGTTCAGGAACTGATTTATATCTAAGTCAAAACTTTGGAGATTAAATTATAACTATGTCAAAATTATAAGGATTAAATAATTAAATTTTTCAAAAAATAAATAAATATGTTAAAGATTAACAAATAGATAAGTTAAATGAGTTCTTTAGGGATAATGAAACTTTTAATTCTTCAAATTTGTTTTAATTTTTATTGATTTGATGCTTAATGTTTTTTTTTAAATTATTATATTAGTCTTTTAATTTTTTTAAAGAAGTTTACTTTTAAATTAATTTAATGTGTAAAGTACACTTTTTCTCTCCCCCCAAATTCCTTCCTCCCATTAAAACATGAACCCCTTTGATGAAAAAAAAATAAAAAAATGAAGATATTGCAAATACTGGTTAAGGTGAAAATTGAAAATATGAACCCCAAGTTCCCCTTTCTCTCTACTTAGTGTTGCACTTGTCACACTTCCAAGGCTAGAAAATAAAATATTGATTGGTACACTCCATTACCTATCTTCGATGCACCTTGGAATGATCTTAGCATGGACTTTGTCATAAGATAACCCTACATTACTCGACAGCATGACTATGTTCTAGTTGTCATGGATAGGCTTTCAAAGATGACTCACTTTATACCTTGCAATAAACGCACTAATGCTTCCTACTTAACCAAGCTCTTCTTTAGAAAAGTTGTACGCTTGCATTGGTTACCCACTTTCATTGTTTCTGATAGAGATGTAAAATTTGTTAGCTATTTTTGGAAGACACTTTGAAACTCTTTGGAACTCAATTGAAGTTCTCTTCTGTCTTCCATCCCTAAACTAAGGTGACCAATCATAGTCCAGGTAACTTACTTCAAAGTCTAGCAGGAGATAAGCTAGGAAATTGAGATTTAATCTTATCTACAACTAAGTTTGCATATCATAGTTTAATCAATCAGTCCACAAGAAAAAGCCCTTTTGAAATAGACTAAGGCAAGGTACGTAAAACCGGACCGGTCATTAAACCGGTCATGGCACTGGGTCACGGGTTAGTGGTTCAATCAGGGTTGAACCGGGGGTTGAACCGGTGGCAAACCGGTCATGATTAAAATAATACAATTTAAATAAAAAGACATTAATTATAAAAACATTCAACCAAATCCAACCACTCAAAAGTCTAACAATAATAAAATACTATATTTTTGGACTTAGCATGCTCTATCTCTAATTTTTTATTTTTTGACTTTAATTTTACTTTTTTTGTTATTTTTTTCCGAACTCAGAGCTGTGAAAAATTAAAAATGAAAAAAAAATCAAAAACGACGTCGTTTTGGGGTAAAAGTCTGAAAAAATATTAACCCGGTTAACCCAGTCAACCCACCGGGTTATCCGGGTTATACCGGGTTGAACCCGGGTTGACCGGGTTACACCGGTTCATTCCCTCACCGGGTTAAGTGCAAACCCAGACCGGACAGGGGACCGGTTCACCGGTTTCCGGGTTGACCCGGCCGGTCCGGTCCGGTTTTCAATACCATGGACTAAGGTTTTAACCCTAAATAGCGTATTGACCTAGTACTCCTTCCTATGATAGCTGGTATTTTTGAATCTGTAGAATCCCTAACACATCACCTTTATAAATTACATGTTGAAATTAAATGCAAGTTAACACTCAGTAATGATCAATATAAATTATTAGTTGATGCTTATTGTCGAGTTCAAAATTTTAATGAAAGTAACTATGTTATGGCTTGTATTTACCCTAAGCATTATCCTAAAAATTCTTTCAAAAAGTTGTATACCTAAGCCTCTAGGCCATTTCACATCCTCAAGAAATTTGGTCCCAATGTTTATCTACTTGAATTACCTCCTGATATATCCATTAGTTCAATTTTTAATATTAAGGATCTTATTTCTTATTGAGGCACTTTTGAACCTCCCCTACTATTTAGTGATGGTTTTGCAAGTATACAGCTTCACAGTGCTCCAATCCCTCTATTGCCAAATGTTCCACTTGTTAGGGACAAGATTGATGTGATCATAGATGAACAAATTGTGCTAACTACCAATGATCTTGTTTGCCGCTACCTTATTTGTACGAAAGGACTCCTCGAACTCAGATCCTACTTGGATTTCTAAAGAGGAGTTTCACTAAATTGATCACACCTTGCTCGAGTCTTAACAACTCCATACCTCTCTAAAGGAGAGTTCTTTTGAACTAGGGGTAAATGATGGAAAGAAAATTGAAAAGAAAAAAGTGAAAATATTACAAAGATATTGCATATTTAAAAATTGAAGATATTTTGTTCTTATATTAATTAGACATATTTTGTTTTAATTTAAATTATTGTTATCTTTCAGCATTTATTATTATCTTTTCATTTATTGTTACCTTTTTAATTAATTTTAAAATTTTTATGATTTTCATGCATTTATTTTTAAGGTTAGGTTGAAGTCTATAAATAGCACTTTAACTTATTTGATTTATACACGCCTATTATCAAATAAGAATTACTATCATGTTGCATCTTCTTTGAGTTTCTCTCTTCTCTCTATATTATCTCTACTCACTTTCTCTCTTTTTTATATTCTCTTATCCCTTTTCCCTCTCCCATTCTACATCATACTTCCTTCTCTAAGAAATGACAAAAAAAGCCTTATATATCTAGATACAATATATATACAATTATGTAATATCTCTTATCTTATGTAAGGGAGAATATAACTTTAAATATTTGCACTTTGCTCAAATTTTGTTATATGTCTCTATATATATTTTTTTGCTATAGGTCTCTACACTTTTATTTTTTGATGTTTTAGATCCCTCCTAGAACACCGAATAATAAAAGTGTACAGACCTAGAATATAAAAAAAAGTGCAAGGACCTATAACAAAACTTAAACAAAGTATAGAGATTCAAAGTTATATTTTACTTTTTATTTATAAGACAAAGAATGAGTTTTTATCATATTTATAAGTTATGTCATTAAATTTTTATCCTATTTTTTTATTCAATTGAGAATTAATATTAATAAAACTAGTATGAAAAATTCTTGCATGGATACAATACTATATATCATTTATGCTCTATCTAAGAGAAATATGACATGCCAAATGATTGTAAATATGCAAATTAAATATGCACTATGTTTCAAAATGAAGTCATTAAAAATAATGATATAAATTTTATTTAATTGAACTAATGTAATTTTATTAAATATAATATGAATGATGTGGGGTAACGAATCTATGCAAGAATTTCTCGACTAGTTTATCTATGTTTAACATATATTTTTAATGTTTTTATATGAGTTTATGATTTTATAAAATTTGAAGACCTCTCCTATTTTTTTAGATCATCAATTCATAATATTCTCGAATCTGTATGAATTTTTTTGAAAATAATATATTAGATATATGGTGATATTTTGTATTTTGAAATATTATTATACATAATTTTCATTTATTGATATTTTAAAAGTTATATATTATTTTTAAGAAATTAATTATAAAGAATGTAATACTTATATTTTATTTTGAAAAAAATTGCCCCCCCTCAACATCAAGGCTAGTTTCACCTCTGGTAAAATATTTTAATGACCTGGCATGCATATTTAGTTAAGTGAGAATAAATTATTCCTCAAATCAAATATTTAGTTTGGTGAGAATGAATTAGCCTTTAAATTAGTTTAATATTTTTTAGGGAAAATTGCCAAAAAAATCCCTCTTTGAAAGGGAAGTTGTCTTACGGAACCAAGAAACCAATTTATATAGATCAAATGCACTCTAAGCTTATGACCTTGCGTATCAAGCCGATGCATGATTTTGTCTAATATCTTGATCTTTATATAATAAATAAATTATAAAATGTGAGTTTTTGTTGAGTATTTAAATTTAGGAATTCATATTGTTTTAAGTTTATAATAAATAAATTTGTATTCGAGGTTATTTAAAGTTAATTTCATATTTAGGTATTTAAATGTAGATTAAATTTAGGTTCAGAATTATATAAGAGATGTTTATTTAAATATAATTAATATATATATAGGGAAAGTCAAGTTATTGAAGTAGTTGGAAAATTTTTTTCCTTCTTCATTGAAATTTATCCCTTACGTTGAATTTGCTTCCCTTTGTTTAAGATATTTTGTTAATAATATAATAATAAATATTAGGTAATAAATAACTTTGGGACCTATGTCCTATTATAAAAACCCTCCTTCCCTTCTCATTTATGCGGACATCTTTCTTCTTCTTTTTCTTCTTTCCATTTCAAACTTTTACACAACATTGTTCATTTTATTTAGGTAAGGTTTTAAATTTTTAAATCATTTAAGTGTATAAAACGACTTTCATTTTTCAAGATCTTTTCATAGATATTTTTCACTCATTTAAAATTATCTAACAATAGTATTATTTTGATGTATAGAGAAAATTTTCTTATTAGAATTTTTCTAAAGGATAGTTAATATGAAGTTATGATGATTTAAAAATAAATGTTGAGGTTGTTAGAGGTATAATAAATACTATAGAATATTCTTTTGAGGT